TACATATATATATATAAATATATATATATATATATGTGTGTGTGTGTGTGTGTATGTGTGTGTGTGTTTTTGCGAAGAAATATATTCTACGCACACATTGCTTGCATGTATACGTCTGTGCGATTGGTATGCACAAAAGGCTTGGACATAAATGGTATCCATCATTGCAGAGATTTATCAACGAGCATTCGAATCTAATCATTTATATACTATTTTACATAAAATCGTATTCAACCTCTCTTCACCTATTCATGCATGTAATATACATGTTAGTAAACTCTCATACACTGCCAGTCGTGTGCATATGTTCGTATACAATCGATCTTTATTCTCCGCACATACCTGTACCTGTACACACTCATTAAAGGCTGCACCAGGGTCAACCTCCATGCCATCCTACTTATATACCTACCACTTCTCCGAACTGTAGTGTGCGAATCACGTATCCGGTGTTCGCTACCATCATCTTTGTGGCGCAGATCTACAGCACCTGGGCACAGTATAATGTTTACCGCCGAGTGCAGAACGAGACAATGGAATACAAGGTATGTGCATGTACTGTATGTGTGTATGTGTGTGTGAATGTATGTATGTGTGTGTGAGTGAGTGAGTGTGAGTGTGTGTGTGTGTGTGTGTGGTGTGTGTGTGTGTGTGTGTGTGTGTGTGTGTGTGCTTGGTTTTGTGTGCATGTGTATTTGCGCGTGTGCACGCATTTGTATGGGAACTATGTGACACAGCTTACTTGGGGGGGTATGCCGATTCATGTGGCGGTATGTGTGTATTGTGCTAGCTGTTGTGTACGCGTGTAGTATTGATGTGTATGTGTGAGTGTACACCCATGAATGTATACACTTGTATACGGGTTGGTCACCACCGCTAACCCAACTCACACTAAAACAACAAGACTTGAGTAACACTATACGTGCAAATGCAACAAATGATCCATCCAGGTGCCAAATCAGACCCAATACTGTGCGCTTTCAATTCAAACAACAGAAACAAAAAGAATGCGCTCCACAGCGTGAAGGACTGTACAGACAATTCGACATGGACCTGCACGTTCCCAGCGTGGAATTGGGAGCGGCCAAAATGCGGGGGGAAGGTGTGTGTGTTGGTGTGTGAGAGGTCTTCTCTGCATGTGTATATAAGTGTGTAGGTGTGTGAGAGGTCTTCTCTACGTGTGTATACAAGTGTGTTGGTATGTGAGTGGTCTTCTCTACGTGTGTATACAAGTGTGTAGGTGTCTGCCTATACGCACCCGTAATTACGCCATCGAATGAACTTATCATCGATAGTATGTAGGTGCTTTTGTATGTTGAATACCATGCTGGGCAGCCTAACGGTGAGATATACGCCTGGTTCTAGCGGATTGAGCTAACTTTGCCTCCATCGTATGCTTAGACGTATCAAACTAATGCCCCATTGTATCTTCATCTACCACAGAATATGACCAGAAACTCGAAGAGAATACGAATTCGATCGATATGGACATCAACCTCTCGCATGTGGTGGTTATCGATAATAGTGAACCAAAACGAAGTGACAGTGACATGACCTACAGAACCTCGCGTGCGGGTAAGTGAAGTGCACAATGTGTTATGTATAAGTATGTCTGTAGGTTCATATATCCATGG